CCAACCCCCGCCCCCCTCTTCCCTTCCCCTTCGGTCATCATTTGACAAGTAAAAGCCCGTGATTTTGAACCACACATAAGGTCCTAAAACACACATGTACGCACGTGTCAACACATGAACGGTCCCAGATCATGAAGATCCAAGGGCTACCTGCAGTTTTCAACTAACACTTCGGCCTACCCACCCAGCATTCGATGTCTATATAAACAAGGCAATTATGGGTGAACCAACTCAGGAAGATACTCGTAAATTTTCCTTTTCACCCCAAACATAACTTAGAGCTAGCACCACCTCTTTCCATTCCCTTCCTTTCCCAATTCCCATTCCCTTATTGTTTCTCTTCGACCAGGTTTTTATCCCACTGAATTTTTCCCGGCAAGGTTTTTCTCGGCTCCATTCATTCTCATTGTTTGGTATCCCCATTTTGGTATTGTTTGTGATCTGGGAAGCAAATGGAACCAGGAAATAACCAAACCGGCAACGGAAACGGCTCCCTGGAGTCGTTTTGCGTAGGCCATGAGAAGGTACTTGCGACACATGACCCATTGAACTGGGGGATGGCAGCTGAAGCAATGAAGGGGAGCCATCTTGACGAGTTCAAACGGATGGTCAACGATTACAGGAAGCCAGTGGTGAAGCTTGGTGGGGAGAGCCTGACGGTGGCTCAGGTTGCTGCAATTGCCAACCACGACGGTGCCAAGGTGGAGCTGTCGGAGGAGAAAAGGGCTGGGGTGAAGGCCAGCAGTGATTGGGTTATGGATAGCATGGGCAAAGGCACAGACAGCTATGGTGTGACCACTGGTTTTGGTGCAACCTCACATAGGAGAACCAAGCAAGGTGGAGCTCTTCAGAGGGAGCTAATTAGGTAATTAATTAACCTTCGATTCTCTAATTAATTAATTTTCCATTGAACATCATCCTTGCTTGGGGATCCTAATTCTATTAATTAGTTTGTTAAATTTACTTATTCAAGCCAATTAGTTGACTTCATTAGTCGTTCCTTTATGTACTTAATCAGAATGGATACATATACAGAAAGGATTCATAAACGGCACTAAATGAAATTTTTTTGCACTTATGAGACGTTAAGTGGCACTAAATTCCACTTGTTTAAAGAGTCGCAACCTTGACATATATATATATATATATATATATATATATCAATGAGCGGATAAAGAACGAGGTGTCTTTTTTATTCTTTCTATGTTTGGTGGAATTTATGATCGAATCTGTTTTTAGGTGAAAATTGGTAACTTGCATTGTCTCACCTTATGTACTTATTGATGTCGGTGCATGTTGGGTGATTGTATTTATTTTTATGATATTTCGTAATATTATTATTATTTTTGGCTAAAAGTAAAAAGTGTGACATGAGGAGGATGCACAGATCCAAACAAAAGAGAACGATATTTTATTTTTTATTTCTATTTTCCTTGAATTTAAATATTTCTACTTATAGCACTACTCTTGCAAATGACTTTTCCCAAAAATGATTTAAAATGGATATCTTGAAAAAAAATATCAATTTTAAATTTCTTTCTAATTTTAATAAAATAAAATTATTAATAATGTCAAAAAAATGTTTGTTTGACCATAATTGTTTGACCAAAGATGTTGTGTATCATATTATATTATACATGGTATACAATGATATATATACCCCTTTATCCAAAGGGTTTTATATTTTTCGTTTTTGACAAAAATAAGAACTAGTTGTTGGGATCACTCCACATCGAATTATAAGTTTCATTTTATAGACCATCTTTGTAAAATATTAGTTAAATTGAAAATATTTAAGGCATCTAGTTGAATTAAAAGAAATTGACGAATACTCTGTTCCAAGAAACATTAAAATTTCATCATGACAATAAAAAAAAAGATTTTAGTTTGAATTGATATTTTGTAAAAATGATTTATGAATGAAGGCTTTAAAAATATGCAATTTGAATTGTTAAAGTTCGATGGATAATTGACCGCCCAACCAATTCCCATTTAAAAATAAAATGAGGTCGCTTTACCTTAAGACTCTGTCTATATACAACTAATTCCCATTTATTCCCTATTGGTCCCCAAATAATCTGGTCCATATAACATAATAACTACAACGGGCCTCTGTTTTTTGTTTTTTGTTTTAGTCACCAGAATGTGCTGCCCAGGTAGCTCTATGGGCCCATAAAAAATAAATACCTCACTTCAGCTCATTTCTACTTAAAAAACAAAACGTATTCTACTGCAAATAACTTGTAGCTCAAGCGATTAACAATATTTACTTTGCATTAAAAACTCATTTTACTAATGTTTAACCTTTTTTTTTTTATAATAGTTAATAATAGTTGTGTAACTTCTAGAAAGTTCTTGCGTCGTATCCCTTTCGTTTCTTCTATTTTTCTGAATGACAAAATTTCACTTTAATCTAGTCTAAACTACTAGGAGGCATATTTGAACCAGGTGCATAGGGTGGAGGACATCCGTTTTAACCAATGTGATTGTGCCACGTGTGTTTTAAAGAATTAGTTGTGTAAGTTGCTACTCAAGCTGACTTGTGTGCAATTTTTTGTTGTTGAACAGATTTTTGAATGCTGGAATCTTTGGCAGCACCACAGAATCGACCCATATTTTGCCTCACACAGCAACAAGAGCAGCAATGCTGGTGAGGATCAACACCCTCCTCCAGGGCTACTCCGGAATCAGGTTCGAAATCTTGGAAGCCATAACCAAGTTCCTCAACAACAATGTCACCCCATGCCTCCCCCTTAGGGGCACAATCACCGCCTCCGGGGACTTGGTTCCGCTCTCGTACATTGCTGGGCTTTTGATTGGAAGGCCTAACTCCAAGTCCACCGGACCCAATGGCGAAACCTTAACCGCTTCTGATGCCTTTAAGCTAGCTGGGATTGATGGTGGGTTCTTTGAGTTGCAACCAAAAGAAGGGCTTGCCTTGGTCAATGGAACAGCAGTTGGGTCTGGTTTGGCTTCTATGGTTCTGTTTGACGCCAACACACAAGCACTTTTATCAGAAGTGCTTTCGGCAATTTTCGCTGAAGTTATGCAAGGAAAACCTGAATTCACAGATCACTTGACTCATAAGTTAAAACATCACCCTGGCCAAATTGAAGCTGCAGCAATAATGGAACACATTTTGGCTGGAAGTGATTATGTAAAAGCAGCTGAGAAAGTGCATGAGATGGACCCTCTCCAGAAGCCAAAGCAGGACAGGTATGCTCTTAGAACATCTCCCCAATGGTTGGGTCCACAGATTGAGGTGATCAGAGCAGCAACAAAGATGATTGAGAGAGAGATCAACTCAGTGAATGACAACCCTTTAATTGATGTCTCAAGAAACAAGGCATTACATGGTGGAAACTTTCAGGGCACGCCGATTGGTGTTGCCATGGACAACACCAGATTAGCCATTGCTGCAATTGGAAAACTCATGTTTGCTCAGTTCTCCGAGCTTGTCAATGACTTTTACAACAATGGCTTGCCTTCAAATCTCACAGCAAGCAGCAATCCCAGCTTGGATTACGGGTTCAAAGGCGCGGAAATCGCCATGGCGTCCTACTGCTCGGAGCTCCAGTTCCTTGGCAACCCTGTCACAAACCATGTCCAAAGTGCAGAGCAACACAACCAAGATGTCAACTCCTTGGGATTGATTTCTTCTAGAAAAACCTTTGAGGCGGTCGACATATTGAAGCTCATGTCATCCACATTCCTAGTTGCACTGTGCCAAGCTATTGATTTAAGGCATTTGGAGGAGAATTTGAAGAGCACAGTGAAGACCACCGTGAGTCAGGTTGCCAAGAGAGTCCTCACCATGGGCTTTAACGGCGAGCTTCACCCCTCTCGGTTCTGCGAAAAAGACCTCCTCAAGGTTGTTGACCGTGAGTATGTTTTCGCCTACATCGATGATCCTTGCAGTGCTACATATCCACTAATGCAGAAACTGAGGCATGTACTAGTTGAGCATGCATTGAGCAATGGTGACAAGGAAATGAGTACAAGCACTTCAATTTTCCAAAAGATTGCAGCTTTTGAGGAGGAACTGAAAACCCTTTTGCCGAAAGAGGTCGAAACCACCCGGGCCGAGTACGAGAACGGGAAAACAGCAATCCCAAACAGGATCAAAGAATGCAGGTCTTACCCTTTGTACAAGTTTGTGAGGGAGGAGTTGGGGACTGATCTGTTGACTGGTGAGAAGGTGAGATCACCAGGTGAGGAATGTGACAAGGTTTTCAGTGCTATGTGTGCTGGGAAGTTGATTAATCCTTTGCTGGATTGCTTGAAGGAGTGGAATGGTGCTCCTCTTCCTATTTCTTAAGAGTGTTTTGGGGTTTTTTTTTTTTAATTTGTTAAAGGTTTATGGGTTTGTTTTTACAAGGCTATAGGACCTTGAAACTGCAAAGTCTTATGTTTTTTCTTTAAATATTTTTTTTTTACCTTTTCATTTTATTGCAAGTATGTTATCTACATTGTAGTAGATCTTATGCGGATCAACAAAATGTATCATAAACAAAAGTAATAAAAGGTGTCTCTATTTCTTTAACAAGCTCTCTGTGATTCTTGTTGGGTTGCATATGGAGACTTGTTTTTTTTTTTTTTTGTTAAACTGTATAGAGAACTATGTGATTGAAGTTTCAAAGATTTTTGTTTAGAGGTTAATGCGCTTAACTAGTTAAGTTGCGTCCACCCACCCACTCTAAAGTGATAAAATTTGTATCAACTCTCTCTCTCTCTCTCTCTCTCTCTCAATGTTAGCAAAAGATATATGGGAAGAAAATTACAGTAACTATATATCATCCAACATCAAATGATCATTAATTCTTTGCTTCTTTACAAATGACAAATTCCAAATGATGTAATCAGAATCTAAACACTTTATAGCACATCTCATACATGAAAATGTATGCTCTCCTAAACACCATGACAAAAGCATCCAAAAAGTTGACCAATTTTTTCAAAAAGCCAACTCTCTGCAAATGCAATTTCCTGGAGAAATCTTACTAATCTCTTTCATTAGGGTCCAAACTTAACTTGATCAGCTCCAACGCTACCTGAAACCCCAAACATGTTTGGTGCTCAGACTCCAACTTCCTCTTCAGCGCCTCAACCTCCCCTCCTCCTCCCAATTCTTCATCAATAATGCTGATCAAATTCTTAATCTGTATTTCCAATTTTCCTGCAATTCTCACCAATTTCACCAGCGATTCCACTAGCAACCACACCAGCCGAGCGTTGCCGCCATCTGCCGGAAAGCTGGAAGTAGAATACACAGTAGTATACAACCCAGCCGGATAAATCGGGTTCAAAGCAAACTCCCTCAATTTAATCTGCAGGTCCATAATATCTTCCTTCTCTTTCTCCAACGCATTCTTCATCATCCAAATCTCTACGGGTTCCTCAATGCTCGCCTCAATTGCTCCCTTCAACTCACCAGTAGTCATCATCACAATCTGTAATTGCTTTGCCAACCTCCTTACACATGCTGATAGCCGGAATTCGATGCCGTCGGAAGACTCAGAGCTGGGAGTAGAAGACGACGCAATCGGAAAAACTGGGTTGAAAACAAAGTCGTCCACATTGAAATTCCATCCTTTAAACCCCATATCCTCACCCCTCACTTCTTCATAGTCTACCTTGCCCAACACGTGAGCCAAACCCCTGCTTCTTTTCTTGAACCTCTCCTCGACGCTCTCCAAATGCGGAAGCACAGTCCCCACCAGATAGTCCTTGCCCCCGCAGTCGTGGAAAAACGGGTGCTTCAGCAGCGCCTCTGCCGCCGGCCTCTTCTCCGGGTCCCGATCAAGGCAAGAACCTACCAAGTCTTTGAAAGCCGCAGAGTACTTCTGGTTCCGGAAATCCTTGATGATGTGTTCGTAATCCGCAAGCCGGAACCTGTTCTTGACCTTCATAATTTGAGTCCCCAATAACAGCGGCAAGCCAGACAGGGGAGGGCCGCCCAGAGCCAATTCCAGCGCCGTGATGCCAAATGCCCAGATATCCGCCTTGCATCCACCTCCGCCGGGCGCCACCCAATACGGCCTTGTAGAGTCGTTTGCCCCAGTTGAAAAATCGGCGTCGTAGAAAGAAGAAGAAACCCCGAAATCTGCGATCTTAACGGACCCATCAGAGTCAACCAAGATATTTCCGGGCTTGATGTCGCCGTGGAAGCGTCCGTGGCCATGGAGATACGACAGGGCGTTTAGCGTCTCCTTCAGGACGACTGCAATGCAGGGCTCTGGTAATCCTTCCGGGAAAGCTGAAGGGGCGATTATTACGGATTGCAGAGAGCCGAAGGTCATGAACGGCATGACCACCCAGAGACGGCGCTCGGCGGTGGTGAAGGAGCAATGATCGCCGAGAATGTTGGGGTGGGAAAGAGACAGAGTCTTGGTGTCGCGCAGCTTACTCTCGAAATGGGCAGCGGATTGATTGAGGTTGACGGACTTGATTGCGACGATTGCAGAGTTCATGGGGACGCAGACGGCCTTGTAGACGAAGACCTTGTCGCCAGAGCCGATTTCTTGGAGGTTTTCGTACGCGGCGGAGTCCAACGGGAATTGGACCTTTTGTGGGTCATCTTGGTGGGAGGGAGAAGACGAAGAAGTCGCCATTGGAGACGACAAAGATGAAATCTTGAAGAATGGAAGTGGGTTGTTTGGATTTCTTGGAAATGGGTGTTGATGGAGAAGATGAATGTAGGGTTTCTGCCGAACTAATTCTTGTGAAAGGTTGATGCTTTGGGAGGAAGACGACGATGCATGAGACTCTCTGTGACTCTGTACTGCTCTGCTTTTATTTACTTATATAATAAAAAATGGTAAGAAGATGAGGTTATTTTGGTAATTTTCAACTCCAATTGGTGGGAGGAAAATTATATGTAAGTTTTGAATTTTGCCCCTAGATTTTGTTAATTTGCAGAATCATCAACATTCTGTTGTGAGGTGGTTTTGGTAATTAGGATTGGGAGAGGTCGGCTAAGATAATAATACAGTTAGAGTTAGTTGGTTTTCTGTTATTTGCCATGTCAACGATACCTTGGGATGCAAGGCAAGATGCCCAAATATGACACAAGACCATCCGTTCATTGATCGAATCGTATAAATATTTTGAAAATACTACAAGAATATGAACAAAATACGTATTTGAGGCTTACAAGTCTTGTACCAAGACCGACCTACTAACTAATTCGAATCATTCTCCAATGTGTAATTGAAACTCAAGCAAGCCCTCAAAAAGGTCTTAAGAGGTCTTAAGTTTGTATTCGAAAATAACAAATTGGTAACCGTTTTATTTTCTCTCCCTTGGTGTAAATATATCACTTTATCAAAAAAATACTATCTAATTGTTGTAGGCCTATTTAAATATAGAGGGGGAGGGAGGGGTGCGGCGGCAAGAGAGAATAGAGAACATCATTTATTGCCTATATGTTATCTGCATTGTAGTGGATCTTATGCAGATCAACAAAATCTTTAATAATCTAAAGTCACATAAGGTGTCTTTATTTGTTTAACAAGTGATCTCTCTCATAGACACACACACACATCTCGCAAACCTTGAGATAAGTATCACTAGATTGTAATTACAATGGTTAAGAGTCGTTACCGCTACATTCTCCGAGGGTTCACATTTGAATCCTTCATCTCTTGACATCGTTTGATTTTGTAAAAAGAGCTCGATTTCAACATCATCCCCAGACCAGCTAAGTTGAAACTTGACAATCCAAGCATTAATTTTCTTTAAGCAAACAAGCCGGATTCACTATTTGATGTCGTCATAAACACCGCTCAATACGGTACATCGTTGCTTTGATGAATTCCTGCAGGGCTTCGACGTTGCAAATAAAGGGTGTCGTGGTACTGGGATCATTTGAAGTAACAAAACTCTGCAACCAGCTCCAGCCTGCAGGCAGCTGCGCTGAGGGGATGGCTGAGTTTTTCTGGACAGCTACTCATGCAGGAGGTCTTATAGTTAGTACCATTTAAAATTTCGAATTCAGCAGCTCATCGCATGTTACTGAGTTTATATTTTGCAATTAGTATTTATGATGAATTTGTTCTTTTTTATATATGCAACATGGAAATCAAACAGATTATAGAAGAAGAGCAACAAGAAATTCTACATTTATAGCTTCTTGAAGTATTCACATATGTCGGTATTAAGAAATTAACACATACGAATTAAACCAATAGAGAGTGGTAGCTTCAAAAGAAACTGTTTATGTAGCTTCGAAGAATCCGAGAAGAAATGACTCTACAAGCTCTTTCCGTGAAGTGAACGAGCACCATCTGTACATGTCAACGCACTGACTTTTTTGTTACAGAATATCCCCACTTCTGTTGTTCCAGTACCACAACAGCCAATCTTCGTAACTTCGAATCCTAAAGTTATATAGCAATAAGCAAACAAAACAACGGAAACTAAAAACTGAACATGAAATGATTATTAAACGCCTCTAAGTAAATGACTACCTGAATTCTAAGGACGTTGATTGAGGTCAAGAGAATGGTGCTAGATATCCAAAAAGACTAGCTTGGCATCTGTAAAGTTGGCGGTGATGTAATCTAGTTCAGTTGACAGCATAGAATTGAACAACTCTGCTCTTTGGTTTTGCAGCTTGAAACACTCTCTCAGTAACCCTGTTTAACTTCTTTCCAATGGAGTGCAACCAATCGCTACGGCGCTGAAAAAGCCAAATCTTGTAGTTCCGAGGCTATATAGATCCTTCAAAATATAACTTCAAAACTTATGTATAAAAATCAAATTGTGTTACTTCATTTGATTAGATTTACTTTGACAAATGTAGAAGCCGATCTGACCAGAAGAGCAGCATATGAAGGAAAATCATACTGAAAGTTTCGGATAAAGCTCGGATAGGACCTCTTGCTGCTTGCTGAAAAATAGAAAGACTGTTGGTGTTAGAGGAGCACAACCGGAGCCACCTGAAGCAAAGGAGCCACCAGTTGGAATATCTTCTCTCTGCAGGTTTGGGTCAAGATATGCTGCTAAAAGTTCCTTGATTCCCAGCCTTCCACTACATATATAATTAAAGTTTCGAAAACAGATAACGAAATATAGTTACTAAATAATGTGGATCCAGATATAGTTACATTACTAAACTGCTAATACTGTAGCTTATATCCATCCATCTAGGTACAAATCAACGTTTTAAAAGGCAAAGGAGAAGGCAATGCGTTTTATGAATGGCCTCGAGGCCACCTCACGGTATCTAAAATTATATTATATGATTATATAAAGTATAAAACTTTGTAAAACAAAATATCTATAGCCATTCAAAAGTGCAGAAGTCACAGACAAGTTTAACTCAGAAAAATACGAACAAAGAAATTATTCACTCAAATCCTCTTCATCCAAATCAAAGGTAATATCATCTTCTTCATTGCCAAGTCTAGTTGAACTTGAACGGTGTGTCAAATAGTCTTCAAAAGAATCTTCTGACTTATCCTTCAAAATTTTGTTTCTTCGACTCGAGGTTTCCTCATTAATGCGTTTTCTTTTGTAGGTAAAAAGAACTCGAGGTTGAGTTGGCTCATGGGGCGGAGTAAGTTCACAGAGAGGAGTAGGCTCACGAGGAGGAGGAGGAGAAGGCTCTCTAGGGTCTCCAACTTGTGAGTTATCTTCATAAATGGGGATTGGCACATTCCTTACGGCCTCCGCATTGAACAATGACCCATCTTCAACCCGTCTAGGATCTTGGGGAAGAACGGGATCTTCTCGTTCCGTTATCCATTCATCATCCGAGTCAATTTCTTCTACAACAATTGGATCACACCTCCCACTTCTTTTAAGACTTCGCTCGCTTAAAGCCAAATTATACTTCACATATGCTAAAGCATTTAGCCTTTTGTGTTCAAGTCTATTCCTCTTTTTTTTATGAATCTACAAAAAAAATTTAAGAATTTAATCATTCATTTCATTTGTTCAAGTCTAATCCTCTTAAGCAACATGACATATAAAAAATAATAATAATTATTTACGTACCATTTGGAATGTGCTCCAATTCCTCTCACATCCCGATGCACTACAAGTAAGGCCAAGAACACGTATGGCAAACATCATCAACTCAGTTGTTCGATACCCAAAACGCTACCACCAACCCACTAAAAGAAACCAAAGTTAACAAACCATATTAATCAGGTAAGTTTAAACTTTGAACTTTAATTTAAAGGCTAACATAATAATATGTTAAGAATTGACTTCTTAGTTCTTACAAGGTGTTCGCCTTTTCCTAGTTTTCATTGCCAAAGGATCCGCAAAATTACCAAGTCTACGATCATATGAGTCCAATTGGATATCCGCATCTTCACGTTCTTTGGAATTTCCAAGCATCCTATCCATGCAAGCAAACAACCCTTTTCTTATTTCTTCAGTATTTGAGAAATTTTATAATGGTTGGTGAAGTTGATCGTTCCATCTATAATCTATCTTTTTCCAAATTGGCATATACTTTTTCTCCACTTTGTTAAGATTGTTAGCAATTTTCTCTTTTACGACATCTATCAACTCATATATAAATCCCATGGCAGGTCTCTCTTCCGAGTCAACCTCTCTCAAGACACAAACAAGTGGAAGAACACCTCTAATGCAAAAGGAAACTCTACCCCAAAACTCATGATCATGTATCACATAATACTTAGCCAACTTTGCTTCACGGGATTTTGCATAGGTACTTTCAGACCATTCTTGGGAGGAAAACAAAGCAACAACATTCTCCTTTTGCTTTTGTAAGATTTGAAGTGTAAGAAAACAAGTGGCAAACCTAGTGACTGCTGGACGAAGAATTTCCGTATTGTTGGTGAACTTTCTCATCAAAGCGAGTACCCATTGATGCCCATAAAGATACTTCGTTAAACACTTAGCATGTTCAAGTGTGTCATCAAACCATTTATCTTAGCAATATCCTTTAGCATCAAATCAATGCAGTGAGCCGCACATTGAGCCCACCACAACTTCTCTTTTCTCTCCATAAGTTTTGCCCCCACATTCTTGTAGTTGGAAGCATTATTGGATATGACTTGAACTACATTCTCCTCCTCAATTTCTTGTATAACATCATCCAAGTAGCCATATAACAAATCTCCATTTTTAATGGAGGCTGATGCATCAACCGATTTCAAAAACCATGTACCTCGAGGGCTATTGATAAGAAAGTTAATTAGACACATACTTTTACCATCTGACAATCCATCCAACATAATGGTGCATCCATATCGCTTCCAAGCTTTTACATGATCTTGCATCTTTCTCTGTACATCATCAACTTCTTCTTTGAGCATCCAAGTCCTATACTCATGGCTTCTAGGAGCTTCAAAACCGGGACCAAAGTCGGAGACCGCTTTCATTGCTTGAAAATAATAATTTGAGTTTGCCGCATTGAATGGAATGGCACTAGTGTAAAACCATTGCGCAAGTTTTCGGCACACTTGTTTCCTTTCCTCTTTTTTTTTTTGAAAGGTGTATTCAATGTGGCTTGGTGAGCTTCTAAAGAAACATACCTATCTCCCTTTGACCTTGGTGGTAGAGTTGAACCGTGTTGTGAAGCTGGAACACTCTCGCTCCCGTTCCCACTCCCTCGAGAGCTATTTCCATAGTATGCCGTTGTGTTCACTTCCATGTCCACACTCTCACTTTCTTCTTCGACACCACAACACAATTCATTACTAACTTTATTTCTTTGTTTAATTCCTTTAATATTAGCAATGCATTGTGCCTTGACATTTGGTGGGACTTTTTTACAAATAGCCATTCCTCCCGAACTTATGCCACCCAAGTGATGTTTGAATCTAGTAATTGAGCCCGTGCATTTCTGATTACAATACACACAATAGAAATATCTAGACACCGGATCAACATCTTTTGTCCATTGCCAAGCAAAATCTTTCTTACAAGCACTAGTACTCATTCTTCAGCTTTAATATCTTCTGCCTAAAGATCCTAAACAATCAAGCAAGCATACCAAACAATTAAGTACAAACACAACAGATTATCAGAAATTTGTAGCATGCAAACCAGAAACAAAATGAGGCAGATTATCAGAACATGCTAGCCACAGTTGAAAAGTAAATACTTGTATAAAATAAAAGGAAAACTAATGAAAAGGGCTTCAATATTTTGAATTTTAACCAAAAACCAGGTAATAGTTTTATTTAATGGTTAGGACAAAACCTAATGTCAAACCAGCCCATTAAGATTGGCCCAAACAAAATAATTTATCGAACTACCGGTTTTACCCCCTAACATCAGTCTTGCTCTAACGTTAGGTTTGACGAATGTCGTTGCTAAGCTCTGCGCGACTGCGCCCATTGAGGTTGTTTCCATACTATGCCCATTCAAAAGAAGTATGTAATGGATATACATCTGATCCTCCATTTCAAATTTCTCCAAGTACTCCCGTACAAATTGATCCAATTGCTATCTATTTTCACACTCGACAACCTAATTCTCGTCCACCCCCTCTCTCCCTCTCTCTCCGCTCACCTTCTTCCCTCTCTAAAATCCCCAATTCCAAGTTCGATTCCGATCGAAGCCTCATCAATCAACAAAAAGGTACTCAAAATTCTCAAACCGTTGCTAAATTAGGATTGATATTATGTAATTCTTCTTCCTCTCTGTTTTTTTTTTTCGATTTTTCAAGAATTATTCTGTAAAAACATTTTCCATTTTAGTTGATATTATGCAATCCAACTAAATTAGGATGCTAAATATGTTCCATCTTCGAGTAAAAACCTGTTCCATCTTTGTGTTCATGGATACTAAATCTGTTTTTGTATTAGTGGAGTGTTTCACGAATAAAAATGGGGAAGCTGAGTTATATCAAGTATCACAACCCAACGGCGGTGGTGATTGTGGCAAGCATGGTGATCAAGACAAGGGTAGATACAGTTGGATTTTCCCCTCAGGTTGTGTCTTGTTAAGTCATTGGTTCAAGGGGAAGTTATAAATGTTGTTGCCTGTATGGGAAAGCGATTTGGGAACAGGCACCTCCACCAAGTGGTTGTCTATGGGACCTACTTTTGACCCTCATCACAAGTTAACAGGTAAATTCAAGGCCCCCGATTCACTGGAACCATGTGGAGCTCTCATTTCTGCCTATGACAACCGTTATTACCTTGCACAGCCAAGGGTCCATGGGGAGCTGTCGATCCCCTTTCAGTGTTATCATCTCGGTTCTGACACTTGGAAAGATCTGCCAAGAATTCCCCCCGATCTTCGTCATAATCTACATGACACTATAGCTGGTTATGTAGTCTGCAGCGGTCATATTTTGGTTTCGATTAGCAACAGATTATTTGCCTATCATGTGCATGAGAAAAAGTGGCATTGTGTATCTAAACCCAACAGGTTTTTTGGTATTTCCGGTGGGGCAGTGGTTTTAGGCGACTATATCTATGATGTAGATTCAATGTCTGGTCTGGTTTGCGAAATTACATTTGACTGCACTGACTATAATCTGAGCACACATGTGTTTTTGGAAGGTTTGACATCTTTTTGTGAATGAAAATCATGGATTTGTGCATGAAAATTTTTGTGGTGTTATTGTTGTATCTGTAGGTGCCTTGTAATTGTGTTTTTGTTTCATGCATGTTCAGTTTAAGAAATAGTGATAGTACTCGTGCTCAGTTCTAGGTTCAGTTTAAGAAATAGTAATAATATAATGTTCAGTTTAAGAATAGTATATCCGAGAACCCTCTCAATGATGCATGCGCACATTTTATCTTTTAACTATCTTGGAAAATTGCAAGGGTGAAGTGCTTTCCTTGTAGCTCAATTCATCTCAACTTTGGTTTTTGTTCCTTGTCAATTATTCTTAGTATTATGTTTTCGTTTTGTAAATTTTCTTTTCATATTGCCACTGTTTCGATGGTCTCTTCTTTGCAGCCCTTTACAGCTTGAGTATGGAGTGCTTCCGTATCACAAGTTGAATTGTTCGTTGCTTCCTAATCTCTGTTTTCATTTTCAATTCCATTCGAATTCACCATTTTTTCGAATCACCATATTAAGAGTCTTTGATTCACTAGTACTATCACTGTTTCGTAAACTAAACACTGACTATTTATTAAACGGAACACTAGTACTATCACTGTTTCGTAAACTAAACACTGACTATTTATCAAACGAACACTATTTATCAAACGAACAATAGTACTATCACTGTTTCGTAAACTAAACATTGACTAATTCTTAAACAGAACACTAGTACTATCACTGTTTCGTAAATTAAACATTGACTATTTATCAAACGAACACTAGTACTATCACTGTTTCGTAAATTAAACACTGACTATTTATTAAACGGAACACTAGTACTATCACTGTTTCGTAAACAAAACACTGATTATTTCTCAAACGGAATACTAGTACTATCATTGTTTCGTAAACTAAACACTGACTATATCTTAAACGGAACACTAGTACTATCATTGTTTCGTAAACTAAACATTGACTATTAATCAAATAAACAATAGTACTATCACTGTTTCGTAAACTAAAAACTGACTATTTCTTAAACGGAACAATAGTACTATCACTATTTCGTAAACTAAACACTGACTATTTATCAAACGAACAACAGTACTATCACTGTTTCGTAAACTAAACACTGACTATTTCTAAAACCGAACACTAGTAAACTAAACACTGACTATTTCTAAAACTGAACACTAGTACTATCCCTATTTCGTAAACTAAACACTGACTATTTCTTAAACAGAACACTAGTATTATCACTGTTTCGTAAACTAAACATTGATTATTTATCAAATGAGCACTAGTACTATCACTGTTTTGTAAACTAAACACTAACTATTTATCAAACGGAACACTAGTACTATCACTGTTTCGTAAACTAAACATTGACTATTTATTAAACGGAACACTAGTACTATCACTCTAACACTGACTATTTATTAAACAGAACACTAGTACTATCACTGTTTCGTAAAACTAAACACTGATTATTCTCAAACGGAACACTATACACACACACACACACACACACGAGAGTTCAATTTTATAATGAGATAGATCCAAGGCAATTGCATGAGACTTCCAAACATAATTCAGACCAAACATAATCATAAACTAGTTTCCAAACATAATTCAGACCAAACATAATCAAAAAAAAAAAAAGCATAATCATAAACGTTGATGTGAGTCTCGCACTTTAAGTTTCACTAATCCAAGAAATCTTCCCTTAACCTTCATTATTTTGTAGTGATTTGTGTAGAAGTTTGGATTATACAAGTGAATGTGCAATGTGATACACTCGGTGAAATTATGGCATTTTCCAATCTAAAGTTCATTATTGTGTAGTGATTTGTGGAATTTAATTTTTTTTGAATTTATTTGATGAGAGGCGAGGCGAGGAATTGGAGATACTTAATTATGTTGGGGGTTAATTGGTATCGATTGGCAAAAGTTTTTTTTATTTTTTTATTTTTGACGAATCCTCTAGAAAATTGCATATTTGTAAATAAATGAAAGTTTAATTCTAACAAAAGTGGGCTGACGGAAGGCAGGGGCATGGATGCAAAATGAATTTCTTATTTTGCATGTGAGGCTTCCTTGTTTTGGTTGTTCTTTCTAGTTTTTGTCATTTTTCATTAAAGTTTAAGTCATTTTTATTAAATAAAGTTAGTAAATGATTTTTGGTTAATAAAAAGTTTGAAAAAACCTTTTTCATTAAAGCTCGGGTCAAAGGTGAATAAATATTTGGAATAAACAACATGGCAATTTTTATTCCTAAAGAATGTTAAACACGACCTGTAAATAAAAAAAAAGTTAATTGCAGATATATGGCAGTTATGGTCTAGTGAATGGTTATTTTGTTCTAGCTATTCTCAAGTAACAAAAGTGGGTTGCCAGCTTTGGAGCAAATGTTAAAATAAATTATCAAATTGGGAATAAAAATTGTCATGATATGGGTTTTCAATTGGTGGAATGATTGCAACCGTTTCAGGAAAAAAAATAGTTGAAAATGAATTAGTTTTGTTTTATTTGACTTTTGGGCTCGATGACAATTTCGTAAATAATATGAAGTTACATTAACAGATTTTGGTTAACATCTGTCAGGGACAAAGCTGGAAGAAAAATTTGATGTTGCATGCTGGGCTTTGCTTCAGCCCGTGGGACTTTTGTTTTTTTTTGGCCTGTTGTATGTTACTTGTGTCATTTTCATTAAATGTCAAGCCCTTTTCATTACATATCAAGCCCTTTTCATTAAATAAAAGTTGTTAATGGTTTTTTATTAAGAAAAAGTTGCCCCAAACCCTTTTCATTAAAACTCCCTAAAATAAATCTATGAATTAATGACAGAATAAGCACATAAACTGATGAACCTAATAGATCTTTCCCTGTGAAGTGGCCCAAAAATTGAATTAAATCAAAAAATTGAGGAAGGCATACGATGCTGGTCTCCTCTCTCCTATCTCACTCTTTAATTAACAAGTATACGTTGACGCTGGTGATGAAATTTCTTCAATGTAGTTGAGAAATCCTAACCTTAAATGTACAAATTTGTTGAGAAGAAACCAAAGAGGGATGTCGCTGAAGGTCGGAGAAGAGACAAGGGACGTCGCTGAAGGTCGGAAGAGAGACCGAAGAGGACGACGGTGGTGCCGGTCTGCGTGCAGTGCTGCTCTGTTTTTTGTGCCCAACGCGAAGTGACTGAAGTGAGAAGAAGGCAAACGAGTCCGAGTTTTACCTATTCAAAACGTTGTCGTTTGGGTTTGGACTGTTTTTTAGAAAAAAATAAAAAATAAAAAAAGTTTTAACGAAATATTTCTGATACTGTTTATTTTAACGAAAAATAATATTTTTATTCTAAAAAGTCTCTTTTCATTAATTTTCTTAAAAAAGAATCCAAATGCCCAACACAGCGCCCCAAGGACCCTCTTAAACGTTTGGACGAGTTTATAACCCACTCCCGCTGGACAGAGGCGTTTTCTTTATAGCACGGTTCAAAAAAGAGTATTTATTAAATATAGCAAAAAATTAACTCTTAATTTCAAAAATGTCACTTTTTATAAAAACTTTCAAATATATCCAAAATTTCATTTAAATAGACACAATTACCCTCAAATTTAACAATTAAATAAAGGGATGTGATATCCACACACCCCATTTTACTTCTCACACACCTTTTTAATTTTCAGCCGTCAGATTGGATGAATTGAAGAAGATCAATAGACAAAAATTATCAAAGGGTGTGTGAAAAATAAAATGGGGTGTGTGGTTAGCACACCCCCTTAAATAAATTAAAGGCTTTTTAGCTACTGTCTCCTCAAGCTTCGATCCAATTTCACCTTCGCTTCTACACTCCACCACAACAATCCTATCCCCTTCGACCCCCTCATCACTGACATTGAGCGCCGCTGCGAGTACCGCAAGTGGGAGTAGGAAAATTTCAATCATGCCTTCAACGCATTTTTTCTTACTAATATCTTTTTTAGTTTTAAATATAAAAAAATAATTTTTAAAGTTAATCTACATGTCGTTATATGATTGTATTGCTCTGCTTTGGGAGGAGGACGACGATGCATGAGACTCTCTGTGACTCTGTACTGCTCTGCTTTTATTTACTTATATAATAAAAAAATGGTAAGAAGTTAGAGGTTATTTTGGGGATTTTCTGACTCCAATTGTTGGGAGGAAAATTATATTTGTGTTTTAATTTTTGCCCCTATATTTTGTTAATTAGCAGAATCATCAACATTCTGTTGCGAGGTTGTTTTGGTAATTAGAATTGGGAGAGGTTGGTTAAGATAATGATACAGTTAGAGTTAGTTGGTTTTCTGTTATTTGCCATATCAACGATATCTTGTAATATAAGGCATAATGCCCGAATATGAGACATGCACATCCTCTGATTGTTAATCAAATTGTATAAATATTTTGAAAAGACTACAAGAATATGAACAAAATACATATTTGAGACTTGCAAGTTCAATACCAAGACCTACCTACTAACCTATTGAATCCATTCTCTAATATGTAATTAAAAATCAAGTAACCCTCAATAAAATTAGTGACGCATCATATAGTTCAAATTTGGTCTAAAAAACTTGGTTTATCCAGCATTACTTTTTGTTGGTAATGTGAGAGAGATAAAAAATTTAACTCAAGTTTTGTAAAATATGCGACATGGTTGTTGATGATTGAATTATTACTAAAGTGTTGATTAATGTATTTGTTTTCTATAAGGGACAAATAATATGATTTGCAAATTTGTCTATATATTTGGTCTATCTAACATTACTCTTCGTAGAATGTTATTTTGAATATTAAACCCAAAAATAAACATA